GTCAAACAATGTAAAAATTTTTGACTACTATTAATACGACTTTATTATTTAAAATTTTAGTCATTGTTTCTGACAATAGAGCTTCTAAAATTCCCTTTGGTTAGAAAAAAAACAAGAATTCGCCAGCATCTGCTAAAAATTTCAATGAAATTAGCTCATTTGCTTTAACCCCGGTTGAAAATGCCTTTGGAAATAAAATTTAAAAAGTAAATAATTAAAATTTGGCAAATAGAAACTTGGCATAATGTGCCAATAGAAATTTCGATCTAATTTGCGTGAGTCACTATGCATTTGTTATTTGTTATATTTATTCAATTATAGCGAAATTTGTTACATCTATTTTAGCGGAATTATTATTGACCAAATTTTGCATTTCTTTTGTTTTAGTTTTAATTTTGGTTCGTCTTTCGTTATTCTTTTTATAATGAGCTTTTAGTTTTGTGCAAGGTTTGAAATTGGTTTCTTTGAATCTTAAAATGAAAATAAGCGTCATATTGCATGATCTGAAGTTATATAAAACTCGTTATGGGCTGGTATTTTGAACTTGCTGCGTAATGTAGTTCAACTATTGGCTATTTTTTTTTGAAGCCATCACGTCCGTGATTATTACTGGAAATTTTTTTACAAAATCTTAAATTACAAATCGCACAACCTTGAAATTATTTTAGAATTCATGGCTTAATGAAGTGGGGGAATTAAGAATGGGGAAAAGTGCCAACTTTAACCAAAAAAAAATGTTAAATTTCTGGAGCTACGATATTGGTTTCGGAAGGCTTTATCAATTTCAACTTGACATCGAAATCTCCACGCTTTGTTCTCTAAGATACACTAAAGATCATGTCATCACCTTTCCATGGGAATATGATCAAATGGACTTAATATGCCAAAAAAAGCATAAAAAATACAGCATTTTGGTAATTCAGCTATCAATTCTTTGCATATTGCGATAATGAAATAAAATGAAATTATAGAGGTTTCTTATTGTAAGTTAAGTGAAATCAGACTCTGGTGAGTTGGCGCTGTTCACAACGTCTTGTCGATCCCCCCACACACATCCCCTCCTTTAGCATTTCTTTGATTGGCTATTAACGAATGACACCGGCTTCCCGAAGTGTAAATTCACCAACTTTTGTTTAAAATAAATTTACTGAAAATGCCGCCAAGGTCAAATACAATTGCTTTAAAAATAAATACTCTTTCGCGTCATTTTAAATTGAAAATCATTAATAATATATACTCACCAAGTATTTAAATATTTTAGTGAGTTCAAAAAAAGGATTTAATATTTAGGGAACTTCTTGAAAAGGAAAGTTGGCAGTAAAATGTCAAAAGAGATTTTGACAAAATACATCATAAATTTTTTTCTTGATTGACACTTTTTAAAATTATAGATATCAGTTAGTCTGTTGATTATGCTTATTTTTTAAATTTATTTTGGTATACTTGAATAAATCATACTATGCATCTTGAGTTGGCATATATCCGGAAAGCAATTAATCTTCATGACTAAATACAAATGGAACTAAAAGAATGACAGACATTTGGCAGTTAGACTCACAATTTTCCAAAATTGATTTTCGCCGAAACAGGAGTGATTGACTTTAAACGTGGTACAGATGTGATCGGGAGGTATAGGCACTTGTTCGACAACTGTGAGGGAAATATCCCCGGGTGGAGTCACAAAGAGGGTCACATTAAAGTGTGCCACCGCTCTGATGTAGGCCGACACTGAATGCAGTTCAGAACTCCAAGTTATCCTTCCACTCGAACTGCAAGGTAGGGTCACGCCTTTCAGGATGCCCCAATTTACCGGAGGCGGAATTTTTAACTTCCTCTCCAAACCTCGAGTTGTTCTATGCTCATCTAAGCAGATTGTGATCTCCGGTGGTTGAACGCCTTCCGTCACGGCTATCTGATCAACTCGAAAGATTGTTTTGTGGGACAGGTAGTTTGTGATTGTAATGGAAAGCATGCAGATTATACAAATGAACATAAGAATGGAGCAAACAGCGTAGACAACACGAATTTTGCGTATAGGGTGAAAACACATCTTTACAATGGGAATAAAGGGAGTTGCGATTCCTTCAAAGGACGTGGAATCTTCCAGATGCCGATGCAATCGAATACGTTCCCACCATAGTTGAAAACGTCTCACAAATGAGGGACACATCTTAGGATGGTTTTCATTCAGGCATTTCGTGGCAAAATATGTCCCTTCTTCTTCCTCTTCTTCTTCAATTGAGGTGATGCAAAATGTCGAGGGGCAATTGCGTTTTTAAAACGACTACTAAGCACAGCAGGGAAAGAGGTAAAGTGGTGTTGGTCGCATGGTGTCTTCGCTTTTTTGCGTGCGCACATCTACCGAGCAGCTGTAGCCAATGAAAGTTCACTTTCCACAGAATCACCAATCAAACCGATGAAAATATTGGGATTGGTTCAGCGCCCCGTCCAAGTAATTTTAATTTATATATTTCCTTCATTGGCGTTCGTTGAAGAATAAGAAGAAGATAGGGAAACTTAACTCTTGTAAATAGCAATGTATTATTATTTATTAACTGAAGCGGTTCTAAAATAGATTTAAAAAATATGGGTAATCTTGTGCAAAAACTATAATTCTGGTTATAGTACTGCGCATATTTAACGCTTTTCATTTGTTCAATGGTCCTAATTTTACTGAGGAACCTTATTTTCAGTCTAATTTTAGTTAAACAGCAAAAGTTCTCTGAAATTATTTTTTGATTTTTGATGATGATTTTCGTAAAAAAATACTTCAGAAAATTCATTAACCTAATTCAACTCGAGGTATTTTATAACTCCATTCGAAAAGAAATACCTATTAATTTTGGAGAACTTTAATATTTAAAAATTTTATAACCTGCGCTTTCCTTTTAGAAATGTCGGGATTATTTACTTACAGAATTTCTCGGTTTTATCATTTTGAGCTGATAACTTCTTCCCTTTCTTTTTAATTCCACTTAGTGCGGCTTAGTTGATAGCGTCATGTTTGCAAAAAAAATTTATTTTGAAGGTTATTGGAAGAAAGATTTCATTGGACGACATTTTTCCAACTTAACACGAACAATGATGCACGAGTGAAACTCCATTTGATAGCTTCATTAAATTTATTATTAAATTGTATTCATTTATTAAAAAAATCACATATTGGGAAATTTAAAAAAAATGGCATAATCTAGCTATGATATTCTATGGGTACAAATTTACGGATGTGACCACATAGCAAAATAAATAGGTCACCGATTTCCGACCAACGCGAACATTCGGCAAATCTTTGAATTAAAATTCTGCGGTGTTGAGATACGATGCTGTGAACTATTTGCGTTGCGAAAATGAATAATTGGGGTGGGGGAGGGGAGGAATGAGGATCCAGATTAGGTGGCACTCTATGTGCTGTTGCTTCTATGTATACTTACAGAACCCGGGGTGTACGATAGACTTACCCTGGACAACGTATACTCCCCACCACCCCACTGTATGTCAAATTCGACTACTTCCACAGTACTCACCTCACCTTTTTTCTAACCTTGTGTCTGTCTCTTTTACATCTTTGAAACACTCTTCTGCCCCCCCCCCCATCTCGACCTTTGTCACTTTGATGTTCCTCCTCCTCTCTGTGAAGCCTGAAGTCAACCAAAGGGCTAATGATAAGTATCAAAACGACTGCCATTTGATATAAATAAACTTACAAAACCCCTCCTCCCTTTCACCCACTCATGGAATTGTTATTTATATTCCTCATTGGTCTTCCATGATTAAAAATGCAAAGAATTTTGGAATTGCTGCAATGCTAATAATAATAATTCAATCTCGTTACAGATGTGGTTAATATTTCTACGCTACTTTTACGGACTACTATTTTCGGGTTGAATACATTTGTTGAATTTGTGAAATCCTCAGAACTTCTGACCCCAATCTGTAACCCCTGCATTCACGCCCTCCTAAAAGTGTTTTCTTTAAAAATAAACCATTAAGGGAATATTTTAACAAATTTCATGTTAAAAATAGAAAAAATTCACATCCCAAACCACAAATCGTATATATATATATTGTTATATTAATTTTATGACAAATTAGATTTCGTCTGATAAATAAAGCGTTAAAAAGAAAAAGAATGCCAATAGTCAGGTTGGAGATTAAATATTAAAGTTGAGTCATATGATAATGATAGCGAATTCGTCGATCAATGGAAAAAATCAATAATTTTTGCCAGATAGGCTAAAATTAATGACTGAAAACAATTTAAAAGCTAGTGGTTTGCAGAATCGGATTTGATTCTTGACTGCCTCTGCAATGCTTCCAGGAGATCATTGCAGTTTCATTAATGCTGACTTTGGGTCAAACATTAATAGGAGGAAAGGTGGAATGACTGATGGTTAAATGACAAAATACGTGCTGTGGATTGCACTGAAAGTGCAATTCCACTTCATCACTGTCACTTACCACGTCTTTCCTATGTGAGGTCACGAGATGAAGAATTCAATCGTCATTCATCGATGGGTCCGCTCTCATATCAAGGAGAATGATTTGCTCATTCTTTTCCCGACAATTGATATTGCGACGCAACCATTAACAGGAATGCATGGGGAAGCATATTTTCACCAATCAATATCTGGGGTCGGGAAAGTGTACGCAACGTGATTACAACGTAGTTTTACAGCACTTAAAAAACGAATAGTTTATGAATTCATACTTACTTAAGCATGTTTAGGATAAATGAAAAATGACTCACTGCCTCATTAGCCAAATGCTGCTTTGATTGCAGGCCCTCACAGGAAGAAATATCGATTTTTCAGTTCACAAGACCAAAGCCATCTGGTTCACAAGACATATTCAATGATATTTCTACACCAGTTCTCCATTTACTTACCTTAATTTGGAAGTGCATTAGGGAATTTCTCCTCCAATTGGTCATCCTTACATGTTTTCCCTATAAGACTACATGCTTCTTCTGATGGCAGAGAATTTTGTTAAGTTTGAACATTTAAAATTTTGTCACACCTATGAGTACCATAAAGTTAGATTAAAATCATGTATCATATGAAATTTTATTGGCTGTTTTTTATTTGACCACTGAATATCTAGGGTTATATCTATTGATAAGTTAGCAAATAGGCGATTATTAGTTGACTTAATTGACTAGCAAAATGCAAAAGTGCCATCTGGAATTGCTGATGCCTAAAGAGAGGCCACTTTACAAAACATGATTGTATATGACTTAAAGACTGCGGGGGGGGGGGGGGGTAATGATAACTATANGGGGGGGGGGGGGGGGTTAATGATAACTATACATAATACTTTTAATAATAATATGTCGGATTGTTATTATATCTATACTTTTTTTTGAAATACATATGTATGTGTGTAGAGGTGTTCCAGCCTATCAATAAACAATTTTGGAGACAATTTATATTGTAGGACACGGGATGAGCGNTTTTTTGTTTAGTTCTTTAGTTTTGTTTTTATCCCAATTTAAAAATGAAAGAACAGGACGTGCACTTCCGACACATTTTATTGTATTACTTCCGAAAAGGCAAGAACGCATCGCAAGCACAAAAGAAGTTATGTGCCGTATATGGAGATGAAGCCTTAAAAGAAAGGCAGTGTCGAAATTGGCTTGAAAGATTTCGTTCCGGTGATTTTTCACTGAAAAATTCACAACGATCTGGCCGCCCAGTCGAAGTGGATGAAACCCATATCAAGGCCATTATCGATTCAAATCGTCACAGCACAACACGAGATATTGGAGAGAAGCTGCTCAATGTGTCGCATACATGCATTGAAAAAAAAATGAAAAACCCTTGGTTATGTCAAGAAACTTGATTTATGGATCCCTCACCAGTTAAAGGAAATTCATTTGACGCAACGGATTAGCATCTGTGATTCGCCGCTACTGAAACACAATGAGAATGATCCATTTCTGAAGAACCTAGTTACTGGCGACGAAAAGTGGATAGTTTATAGCAATGTTACTCGCAAGAGATCATGGGTGAAGCAAGATCAACCAGCCCAAACAGAATCAAAAGCAGACATTCATCAAAAAAAGATTATGCTGTCAGTCTGGTGGGATCACAAAGGAATTTTGTATTTTGAACTCATGCCGCAGAACCAAACGATAAATTCAAATGTGTATGTTGAAGAACTCGAAAAACTGAAGGATGCAATTGAAGATAAGCGGCCGGCATTATCAAATCGGAAGGGTGTTGTTTTCCATCATGATAACGCAAGGCCCCCGCACACATCTTTGGTTACTCGGAAAACATTATTGAAACTGGGTTGGGATGTTTTGTCACACCCACCATATAGCCCTGACCTTGCGCCTTCGGATTACCATTTGTTTCGTTCCATGCAAAACTCTTTAAATGGTAAAATTTTTAACAACGCGGATGATGTCGGATCACACCTAATTGAGTTTTTTAATAGCAAAGACCAGACATTTTACGAACGGGGAATTTTCACTCTGCCAGAACGATGGAAAAAGGTCATCGACAAGAACTGCCAATATCTAATTGAATAAAGTTATATTTTCAAACAAAAATTCCGAATTTGCCTTCTTATTTGAAATCGACAATGACTTAGTTGCCAACCTAATACTATCAGCCCACTGTAGGTCATATTCGACTTCTTCCACAGTACTCACCCCACCTTTGTCTCTATCTTTGTGTCTGTCTCTTTTACATCTGCAAATCACTCTTCTGCTCCCCACTCCTCGACTTTCTTTCATTTTGATGATCCTTCCCCTCTGTAAAGCCCAAAGGCAACTAGGGGGCTAATGATAGCCTTCCAAACGCCCGCCATTTGATATAAATAAATAAATATTCGTGCAGTATCTACATTTTCATCAATTCATGTAGCTATATTTAGCCGTCGTATAACGAAAATACTAATCTAAGGGTGTAGATAAGCTAAAAAAAGTAGCATTTTCCTACTTATTTCGACATGTTGAATTCAATGATGCTTGTCGCTGCCATCTATTGTCGAATGGAGGAGGCAAATGCGTGATGCGCAGACAATGTACTTGTTTTAATAAAATGGCAAGGCGGAAGTAAATAATTAATGTGGGACATATTTTCTTGAGAAAATTGAATTTTATGTATTTCTAGAATCCGATTGCTCATCCCCTCCCCCACCCCCCCCCCCCCCCCATTCCCAAAC